TCGTCAGACTCTGAGTATTGAGTGACCTGTTACTGTTCCGAAACTGTTCGGCTCCCGAATCTTCTGAAGAACAAGATACGTGCAAGGATCAAATTACATACTCGACCAGGACTCCCGTCACCGGCCTTCAACAAATTCATCTTTCGTCCAGGGTTTCGGGTGCGCCTGCCTCAGGCGGGTGCTTGTATGTCCATGCTTTTTGTCCCAGTACATGTTCTGTCGTGCATGTATTAATGCTCACTCGTCATCTCAGGATGTCTGTTTTCTTGCGACGATGTCGTGGTTCAAGTGGGTAAGGAATCAGTTGGTTTTTCTTGTTCTCAGTGTGAGTCGCTGTCTTACACCCATTATTTCGTTATTCAACGTTTTACGTCGCGCTCACATGACCTTCAGGCTTCTGCAGAGGTCTCCATCCTGTCCGTCGCCGCACTTAATCCATCGTGGTTTACTGTGTCGCCTGTGTCCTACGAAATCAATCTGGGCTGTTTGACGGTTTCCATCCTGCGTGATGCTACCCAGCGCACTCGATGTCAGCGGTCAGACGCGCGACTGAAGACCAAGACCGGTGGCCCGTTCTTGTGTCTGACATACAGTTCCCTCTCGACGAGCAGGCTTCATAATCAAACAGTAAATATATTAGACGAGTATATTTCAACTTAAAGTAGTGGTAGTCAACATACTAATTACACAAAAGTTAGCCAAAGTGACAGTGGCAAACTCTCGCTGTCAAGGGACAAACCTTCGTCAAAGAAACCGGGAGATAGCCTCGCTGATGCGATTCATTTATTACAGTCACTCAACCTTTTTCGACCGCTGATTGCTTGTACAGCTAGCAGGCCAAGTCATTACATCACACTAAGGGACGACGTGTATAAGCACAACACAGACGAGTAAGTCCGCAGCCTAACGTTTGTTGTAATACCTCACCTTTCTTTAGCCTGCAGGAGCTCGCGTTTACGTTGTGCCATTCTTATAACTTCGTGAAGGAACTCTGAGGATAACCTAGACCGACCTTCGTCAAAGAGCCTGGAAGATAAGTTGGCTCTTCTCTGCCAGCTTGAAGTGAGAATAGCAAGTTTCTGGCCAGACGGACAAACTCGTTCGTCAAACAACCCAAAGATACCTGTCCTGATAGCGCTGGTCAAGGACATAATGAGGCGAGAGGAGATAAACGAAGTGGGGAAAGTCATTGGATGAGCGGCAAGTCATGTATTCCGAAAAATAAGCGGACTTACTAAGATTTACTCGGGCTAGGAGCACTGGCGAAGTGTTGCTGGGGTCCAAGGTGACTAACTAACGTCACCGGATGTCGCCGATTACTATGCAGACTTGACATATGTAATAGAATGCCCAGTCATCGATATCGTTGTATCGTGATTGACGCGGACCTTGTCAGGGTTTTCGAAGCTTTTCTCCTCACAATTTACTGATTCGAATGTCGATCAATGTACAGATGTAATAGAATGCCCGGTAATTGATATTCTTATATGTATTGAAGTCTCCTGACCTTATCAGGGTTTTGGAAGCATTGAAACTTGGTTCGCTAGCCAGAAATGCACGTACTATCATGTCCTGCAGCACCAAGGTGATCATATTTAATTACTAACTGGGCATAAGGCACTATCACGAGTCTAGGTCTAGGAGCCGTGCTTCCTTCCAGAAAATAGAAGGACTCCTATTCCGTCATTCCTCCTAGCTGATTGTACCGCATGGAGCTGAGTCAAACACTTATCGTGATCATTCTGTGGGCACGATTGAACATAATTCTTTATCAGAACAAGTCGGAAATGGCATCCAGAAGGCCGCGTACCAATCTTGCACCACACCACATGGTGTCCTCAAGGTGAGTCAAAATATTGATCGTTTAGCGGGCATGGCGGGCATGATGCATAATACGTCTGTATTTGACCGAAAATGATGTTCAGAAGACCATAATCGCTTGTCAACGACGGCTCTGAATCAGCCTGAATAGTACCGCCTGTACCTGTGATGCTTGCGCAAGACCTCGCCTGCAATAACCGTAAGTTTATCCAAATACATTGTGACATGTGAGATAATTGATGGCTCGTCCGACTGCAGTAGTACAATCAACGTTATTGATTCTTGACTATTTAACTTCAAACATCGCTGATTTAGCTTCCCACTTTCCCCCTTCCAAGCCTACTTGATGGACGCCCCAGAATCATCAATGTTTACACCGATTGAGTTCGACCCCGACGATCACTCTAGTCTCAGACAGCGGGGGATACCTGCTCAACTCGGTTCATCACGTTTTAACCCATATGCACGCAGCACGCCTAGCTCAAGGCCTTCTACATCGCTAGCGTCAGCAAGCGTAATAGATGATGCCGATAGCGCTCGTTGCATCACAGACTTGCCAGAAGCTCCACAGCCTAAGTGTAGCAGGAAGGATTATAGTAAAACACAGCAACGAGCCATCGAATGGGCGAAATTGCGCCTCGTTATGGACGGTGCAACTACCGGCTGGATCAGGAACAGCACCAGAGACGAGAAGGCCAAGATGGAGGTGCGCGTTAGGGAGATCATTTTTCATGCCAGTGTAAAGTTCGGTTGTGGTATGTGCTGACAACTGCCCCGTGCGCAACCCAGCATAGACTAATCTGCGTTACAGAATTGATAGCTAATAACTATCTCATAAACACTGTAGTCCAAGCCCTAACGCAGGACCGTAGACGGCTCGCAAAAATCGGCGAAGAATTTGCGAACCTGCACAAGCTTGAACCGCCGTCAAAGCGGTCCGAGGAGGAACGCCAGATTTTTATGAACAATCGAAGGGCAGTCATCTACGATGCAAATCAGCCTTTCGAATACTATCTACATGGTATAGAGGAGACTGAGACGTCTACCAATGTCCTGGTCTTCTCAGATCAAGCTGTCGAAAATACTCATATCAGGCACTGGTATCAGAGCAAGAAATCGCCACTTTGTGACGAAGAAATGAGGTCCTCGATTGATACGACGCCCCTTGACATGTACGCGGAGTCAGCGGCAGGAGTGAGTAAAGTATGTTCTGGTGTGCATCCGTTAATTGAATTTTTATGATCTTTAGATGAGGTGTGCCATCGATCGGTACGTCGAGGATCGACTCACCGAATCAATAAATGACACTCTGCACTTCGCTACCGACGTATATGCCAACGAGCAACAGTTGATCAAGGACGCGATGGTGTTTGCCCTCCAACAGAATATACATCGGGAGTCATTCCAGAAGCGTCTACTATATCTTCATCACAGAGGCCTGTAAGTCTCTCGTTACGGTGAATACAGGCTCAATGCTCATACTTTTGCAGTCAAAAGTTGTACGAGATGCTGGGCCTTCCGGCTCCTCAACCTCCGATTCACGTCCCTTTAACAGCTCAGGAGTTGAGCAAACCACACCCAGTGCCGAGTCATAATACCGCGACTGCCCTGCCTGGGCCTTCCGCTTTGTTGCCGTTTGGACAAATAGGTGGCCAGGCGCCATTGATGACGTCGGGACCGCAGACGTCGTTTGTACAGATCTCAAGTGATGTGGGTCTAAATTTGTGGGGCTTTTCAGATTTTAGAAACTCGGAGCAGCCCCGTCTTGAACTTGAAGGCTCCGGGTCCATGTCGAACGAAATGCCTTTCAACATATAGTGCATTTGACTGAAAATCAATTCAAAAGGTCAGCACAGCTGCCGACTAGGCCTTCATCTGAGCTAATTTCATCATTCAGAATCATTGTCATTCAAGTTACTTCTTGCTTCGTAATGTCCATATTCAAAGTTTGCAGCCGTACTAGTGTCTCTAGCCTCGTTACTAGTTTTTGATCAGACAGAATTCATTGCTTGTTGATGCGATCAATCAATCGTTGATCATTCATTAAATTGCCTGTTGATGCGATCAATCCACTTCAATCCATGGTCGCTGATCATACTGATGAAGTTGATTTTAAAGCCTGTCACGAACGTGACATAATTTACTATGTCAAGTTTGTTTACATGTACTTGAGTTGTTTTCGCACAGCGCCAGAGTCTTCAATCCCAATATGACCTGGATGCTATCAGTCTCGTGAACTTGATCAGTTCAATCAGTATTGGAGTTTTGCGTTCATGCTGCAGGTTTCATGAGTGCCGATTCTGGCTTGCCAGCTGATCATCTTTCGGGACAGAAAGAATGATGTGAGAGGGTGGACTACCTTTGTTGACGTTGGACCCTCGGTGAGTCTTCTACTTTATCGATCTGCGCCATGACAAATATCTTTTTCAGGTTTTGTCTGGTATCGCGTTTACCCAACTGATCAGCCTGTCCTACCTTGGGCTCACCCGATTCACGAACATCGAAGATCACACTGTTGTTCCATCTCAAGTTTTTGCCCGAGATTGAATATTCAAACAAACCTTTCCGAATGTTCATCACGATCAGAAATAATTCCCGTAGCCTCTAAATCGACATCATCCACTTCAGAGATGTTGCCCGTGGCGGTATTCCGAGTCGAATTGTCATGTCGTGGAACAAAGAGTACGTGCGCCGTTTTTGGACTTCGGAATCCTTCAGTTAAGTTCTAAGCAACCAGGAACTACTACTCGATCAACCAGTCCCTTTTGCTCCCAACCCTCACTGGTACACTAGCCTTCGTCACATACAGCTTCACAGTGCACGACTTCAACAATACTGATATTTTCGCCTCGCTGAATCTTTTCTAGGTGGGATCCTGTCCAGCAACGTCCATCGCCATTCTCAACGATAAACAAATTGTCCGGCAACCGATGTTGTTATTGCCACAAGCTCTGTATGCAATCCCCGATGCATCCAGCACGATCCAACGGTTCGCGCATGCATCCCGTGCAGAGCTTATTCCCGAAGACGCACTCGTTGTCGACACGGACCAAGAACCTGCGCTTCAGTATGTCAGTGCAACATAAAACTGGACGCTTCTCAATACTCACTCTCTTCTCAGAGAGCTCCTGGAAAAGTTCGCAACATTTCCGGGGACTTGGAGGTACAACTGTAGCCAATCGTCGCATCAGCCTCGATGTCACTGCGCCTTCGACGGACCTTCACCCACGCCTGCCGATCCTACAATGAATGAGTTTGGTGTTCTGGAGAAAGGTGATGCACAAGTTGCGAAGGCGTCGGGCGAAACGACAACGACAAGGCGGCTCTCTGTCCGAGCTTCTCCGTCAATCAATTCCCGAGTTCCAAGGCAGGTCTCTGGGCCTCCATCCGCTGACGGCATCCCTCGAAAGTCCAATCGTGATTCGGTCTCCTTCAGCACTCTACATAAGGCATCCACGGGCTCTGTCGCCTCCACTACCTCAGTCCTCTCAGCGAAACAACATACTCGCATAGATTTTCTGCTTTGTCTCCGTCAAAAGGTTTGAAACTGCTTAGTTCTAAGATTTCTCTATTTACATGTTCTTCAAACAACAATAGTTCAACGGCTAATGTACACCGGACTCAAGCAGGGACTCCTGCCTCAAGTCGTCAGTCACTATCGACTCTTTCTCCAGTCCCTAGCACCGTTGATGAAGAGGAGCTCCTTGGCGATGAAGAGATCACGCAATACATCAGACGGCAGCAGACTAAGAAGATGGCACATGGGGCATCGCAGGCTTAATTGGACGATCTACTTAAGTTTCCAGAACCAATAACACCAAGCCCTGGATTGACGTCTCAGGGTCAGTTGCTCTCTACCCGGTGTAGAGACTCGTGCATCTCATAGTGTGATATGGCGCTTTACACTAGGGAGTATACAGCACCAACTCGCAGCATCACTCTGTGTACCATCCACAGTGATTCCTATATGACGCGCAGCTTTCCCGCGCAACGCGCGCCATGCGCGCACCATTCCCGCGCTTCACGATGTATACGCGCGCGCGTTCCCGCGCTTGCGCGCCCTATAGCGCCAGCCATCCAGATGCATCCATCCACTGTCCACCAAGCTCCCTAGTACGTATATTTCCATTTTCCTTTATTAGCATAGTTCCACCTTTATTTTTATCATAGTTTCTCACTCATATATATTTTTACATACCTACTCGGTAGCGCTTCGGCTCCGCATGAGCGCGCTTAGGCGCGCTATATAAGCGCCAGCAGTACATACTATTATTTACCTCACTTTTCCCTTGAACTTACTAGTTATCACCCACTATTTACTTAGCAGTACATAGTAGAAGTCTATTGGTCTACACTTTGCACCGGAGAATCTCAATCATTGATTTTGCACGCAGAGGTGTTCAATTCTTCTCAGGCTTAGTTCCTGTCCAATCACGAGAAAAAAGATATTCTCAACCGTCCCCAGGTTTACTGTATAGGTTCTGGGAGCCCGAAGAAGAAGGCTCATCCTGAGATTGTTGGCAACACTTTCGGCTAGGATGATGAACATGGCGATTACCAGGTAGTTAACGGCGATCATCTCGCTCTCCGCTACGGAATCATGGATATCTTGGGCAAGGGCTTGTTCGGTCAAGTGCTAAGCTGTAGAGATCACCAGACAGGCGAATCTGTTGCGATTAAGATCATCCGCAATAAAAAGCGCTTTCATCACCAAGCACTGATGGAGATCAAGATCCTAGACAATCTTCGTAAATGGGTATGCATCCATACTTACATCATTCTCAAAAGATGAATTAACGCGTCTCTCAGGATCACAAAGAGAAGCACCATGTCATCAAGATGACTGAGCTCTTCTACTTCCGCAATCACCTCTGCAATGCCATGGAGCTACTCAGCATCGATTTGTACTTCTCTTGATTGGCTTCTGCGACATAAACAACGGAGGCAAAAACGGGCGGCCAAAGAAGACGACTTCCACCGAGATTTCCGAGGAGCAAATCCATTGAAGCGCCCCACCAGTGTTCCAAATCTCGTGAACGTCACCGGTAGTCACCATACACCACCCCTATTCCGCGCCGTCATCTATGGATTCCAGTTACAGCTCTCCCAGCCATCATTTCCAACGGAGCAACTACCTGACTTCTTATATGTTCAAGGCCAGGGCGTCCCTAAGGACACGTTCTACACGCTCCTTATTCCCATGCATCTCGATGTCTCCTTGAGATCTCTTCAAGTCACGCTTCGAGACTATCCGTTACCACTCCTGCATATCCCGTTTCATTCTGAAGGCAAAGACCTGCCTGTCCTGAGGTTCATTTCTGACTTGGTCATTGCCGAGGACATGGGACCATCACAATCTGTTGAGTGGATTTCCTGTACCATCGGTGGGGCTCAAGGTGGTTTTGTTCCGAGTAGCCCTCTCATTATTGAAATTCCCAAAACCATTATGCCCGTCAAGACATACGCTAATCCCACTGTCAAAGTTATGACGGATGGGGTAACAATTTTTGGTTGGGGCGCAAGCTACAGCGCAACTACTCAAGATCTCGTTCGGATCTTGGAGAGCTTAACATCAGAAACGCGTGATCCGTCTCCTAGCATTGGGTTTTGGGACAAGGCACGTCCCATATTTGTCCTCTGATGTTTATGGATCTGATTGTGTTTTTAGCTGAGGCTCATTTTTCACTGGACTATCGAAGTGTCATTCGTTAATGAGGTCAGACTCTACATGAAAGGTGCGGCTTGAGGTGCCGTCATGTGTCATATATTTTAATTTATGTCACTGCACTAGGTACACGTGATCCGTACACCCTTCACGATGAAGGTGCTGGCTTCGGACTCTGCTGGAAAGGCAATCCCCAATTACTCATTGGATTTTCGAACGACGTCGATGAACCTATTCAGGTGTCAAGTGATACCATGTCTATCATCATTCCAAAGTAATGTCATTCCAATTCACATCACCAGAGAGACTGAAAACCAAGAGTAGGTTCCATTGTGAGTGGGACGTCACCCAAAACAAGCTGGACGCCAGTGAAGCGCACAGTGCCGCGCCCGGTTGCCTCAAGACCTGTGCCAAACTCGGCTCCGGTGTACGTTTTGGAGTTGGTGTCATACTAGAGCGGTCTTGCAGCACTGAAGATTGTACATCTTGCTGCCTCGGTTCCTCATTCGACCGTCATTGCCGTTTTTTCACCTTCCGGCCTCATCATGAAGTGCAGCTTACGACTACGAAAACGGACAAACACTCCCAGGTTAGGCTGTTCTTTCGATTGCCTTTCCTCCGTTGATTGTTTCTTCAGACACTTCATGACTCCTATAAGGGCTTCCGATCTGACTTCATTCACCTTTCCGTGTCTTTAACATCTTCTCTGCATTCGCATACCTCCGCCGATCGATCCAGCCCGAGTAGTTTCCATTTAACACCACACGCATTTGCTCATTTCTGGTCCTGGTGGGCACTCTTTGACGGCAATTTGTCCTTGCCAGTCAGACAGGGCTCGTATTATCCTTCCAAAACAGTGTCCCCCAAGTTTGCTCGTCACCTTGCGACTGTGAAGTACCGAATAGTGGTGCCTCGCTTATTCATATCTCACGTTTACATTGATGACACGAGAGACTCCTGGATTTCTGGAATCACTTCGTTTGTGGGCACCAAGGCTAACGTTGGCCATTTTCAAGCAGACATGCACCAGAGGGACCAAGAATCTATTGCTCCAGGCGACGGTCAGGACAGCATCAAGGTTGTGCGACATAAGCCCTTCTATGCGGCGGAGGTGGTCATGAAAGACATGGACCTTCGCGCCATGCCGGCCACCTTTTCTGAGCCTCTAAAGCAAGCCATTCCTCTGTCGTTCGAAGGTGACCGGGACACCAATAACTCCAGGCTGAAACTGTCCTGTCAACTGGGCCCTCGACCGATCGTCAGAAGTTCAAGGGCCCCGTGAATACAGCTCAGACTGCTGCAACTGTTCTAAAAAGAATCTTGAGTCGGGATCGTAATGACGTCTTGTGGCATCATCGCATAGTGCATTGCGATCTCAAGCCAGAGGTTCGTTATTCTCGTATTGCATACACTTTGTCTTATGACTCTGTTTAGAATGTCTTATTACGACACCCTGCGAAGAGTGCTATCAAGGTCGTAGACTTCGGCAGTAGCTGCTTAGAGCACGAGAAGAGTAAGTTCATTTTCACCACGGGCCCTAAGATTTTACTGAGCCAAGCGTAGTCTATACTGATATTCAGAGTCGTTTCTATCGGTCGCCTGAAGTTATCCTGGGCATGAACTATCACATGGCTATCGACATGTGCAGTTTGGGTCCTCGCCGAGCTCTATACAGGATTCCCTATCTTCCCTGGCGAAACCGAGCAGGAGCAATTGTCTTGCATCATGGAGGTTTTGGGGCCCCCAGATAAGGACTTCACCAATCGTAGCTCCCGAAAGCGACTCTTCTTCGGTAAGATGACACATTGGCGACCTTCTATCACTTTCCTAACTCTTTCTAAGACAATAACGGCGCACCCCGATCCGTGGTGAACTGTAAAAGTCGTCGTAGACGACCAGGCACAAAAACACTTGCTCAAGTTCTACGGTGTCAAGACGATGACTTTGTCGACTTCATTGCGTGGTGCCTTGTATGGGATCTCGAGTGAAGGATAAAACTTCAAGCAGCACTACAACATAATTTCCTCCGTGCAGGACGTCGAAGCAAGATCACTACCCCTTCGCCATGTCATACTTCTCCCCGTCATCGTCGATCACCAAAGGCGTCACAGACATGGACTTCACCTCACGTTTCTGCTTGCCAGCCACACCACTGGCAGGTGTATCGTAGTCGTTGGCAGTCATCTTGCCCTTCTTCCCCGTCCGACACCCACGTCCGACGCTGGAGTATCACGACCAGGCACGGGTGTAGTATCGGTCTCTTTGAGAAGCTTGTTGGCAGCCCATCGTTCTTTCTTGCCACGGGCACGATGTTTTTTGGACAAAAAGATACGATTTTTGAATATTAGGATCAGCCTATATTAAGATTTGGAGGTCCTGTTATCTAGCTATCTAATCCGCAACGTATATAAGCACACATAACCACTGGCATACATGCTGTGTCGTCTCTTCCTCTCGGCTCCATCCGTTTTCTGCGTCATGCTGTGTTGACAGTGTTGTGCGTGTCTCAGCGAGTAAGGATCTTTAATTTATGTAAGCAGTAGTCTGACTTCCCGCTACCGGATCATCCTTACTAGTAACATTTTTGAAGCACTTCAACGAACTACACTACACAAACAACCGCTACCTTACAGCGTATTGCCGACAACTCTAACGTGCAATGCGCGCAAGCATTGCGTCATCTTTTTGGATCGTCGCCTTTCTGTCAGTCTTGTTTTTACTGACGATGGTGTTCCAATGCGGTGCCCTAGGCTGCTCTTGGGAGAGGGCAAAGGACGCCCGTGGACTCAGTAGGCATCGCGCCTCTTGTCACTTGTACAAGAGATATAGCGTTCTTGCGACGCAGAAGAGATGGGAGCGTGCCAAAGAAGCTTCACACCATGACGCAGTGAGTAGTCCTACTAAGCAATCAGCTGTCTTCTTAAACGAGGTGGACTTCAGAGAATCGGTCGTGTCAGACAAACCGCCCCTTTTCGATCACCAGCAGGGTCTGGCATCAGCACTCTAGATTCATCCGGTCTCGATGACTTAGGACTCTCCCTTGACTTAGAGAATGATGTCGACGTTGAGATGGGTGCCAATTGCGAAGACAAAGTTGACGAGTCGGATGATTTTGGTTAGTATCCATTTGCGTGATAGACTACCAGTTTTCTCATTACCTGACACCTTCAGAGCAACCGACGCGCCGTATCAGGCGAATTCCAAGGCCCTTCCATGCCATCGAGCCCATAGAGGACGACCTTAATTACTCTGATATCGGTCAGAGCTCGTTGAGTCTAAGTTTGCCTGTCGTACCAGCTCGATCCAGAATCCAGCGTGTTATTCTAACCCTCAGAGACACACTCCAAACGACCGTCAATTCCTTTGGTCTCTCCCGACTTTACCCTCGTCGTCCGTCGTTCGAGCCGGACAGATTTATTCCATCCGAATTGCTTGCGAGGACGTGTCCAGCTGCTGCTCAAGGAACCCATTCTCCGCCGAAAGTCTTTGCACCACCGTACCTGTTTTCTAACATGACAGTCTATAGACTTATGTCGTGGATGAATTCTGGCACCAGTCGTGTGTCAGAAACTAAAGTCGCTGCCCTAGTCAAAGACGTAATACTAGCAGAGGATTTTGACAGCAAGGACCTCCAGGGATTTTCGGTGAGGCGGAGTCTGCGGGAATTGGACCAAGACGAGGGTGGAAAGGGAATTACCTTTCCAGATGACTGGATCGAGACTACGGTCACCATCGACATTCCAACGAAGTCGAAGGAGGATAGCCCTAGGCTCTTCTCAATTCCTGGATTTCATTTTCGCCCTCTTGTTGAAGTTGTACGCGCTGCATTCGCAGATGCTCAAGCGGGCGCGTTCCACCTCATGCCTTTTAAACGTCTATGGAATGATCCTCTAGACGGCCATCAAGAACGGATATACGACGAGCTTTACACGTCTGATGCTTGGTTAGGAGCTCAGGATGATTTGCACAAGCTGCCGAAAGAGCCTGGGTGTTCCTTGGAGCGCGTCATCGCAGGCCTTATGTTCTTTTCGGACGCTACTCACTTGGCGAACTTTGGAACTGCCAAGGCTTGGCCTCTCTATGCTTACTTTGGAAATCTGACGAAGTACGTACGTTCGTCGCCTACGTCGGGATCGTGTCACCTCGTAGGATTCTTACCTTCGGTGAGTCCTCCTCATTGCCACACATTTTCAACCATATTTAGGCTACCCTCCTCAGCTTCCTGATAGCATCAAAGACGTTTTGAGTAGCCTGCCTCGAATATCGAAAACAGGCATAGCCTCCCTTCTCACCTACTGCCGCAGGCAGTTGTTCCAGGCTTGCTGGGAAATCCTGATGGATGAAGAATTTCTCTATGCTTATCGACACGGCATTGTTTTGAAATGCGCCGATGGAGTCATGCGGAGAGTATATCTTCGAATTTTCACGTATTCGGCTGACTACCCGGAGAAGTACGTTTTTTTCATTGCGTTCTTTCAAGATCTCATATGAATATTAACTTTTAGGGCTCTAATAGCGACTATCAAGGACATGGGCTCCTGCCCATGCCCTCGCTGCCTTATACCGAAAAGTTTGTTCAATTGTCTCGGTCTGGCTAAGGATATGAAAAACCGCGCAACTAACTTTCGAGTCTATACTACAGCGAAGATCGTCAAGGCTCGTGACTTCATCTATCGATGGGGAACTACCGTAGATAGCGGAAAGGTTGAAGACACCCTTGGAGAAGGCTCGTGGGTTCCTATTCTGGTAGGCGTAAAGGGCCCCCTACTGATTATGATAAACTCAAACCGACGTCCGCAGAATCAATTCGCAGTGAAGCTTGGGGCGCTAGGCCTCGACCCATTTCGCATGCTCGTGGTGGACCTAATGCACGAGTGTGAATTAGGTACCTGGAAGGCGCTATTTACGCACCTGATAAGGCTTCTTTATGTACTTCCTGGAGGTACTCAGGTGGTTGCCGCCCTAGATGAAAGGTATGTGGAGCTAATAATGGTCTGAATATATTTACCTGCTAACGAGTTGTCAATTTCGCCTCAGATTTCGCCAGCTCCCAACCTTCGGGAACGGTGTGATTCGCAGGTTCGCAAATAATACCTCAGAGATGAAAAAATTGGCAGCTCGCGACTTCGAAGACATTTTACAGGTTCGTTCACATTGTTTGGTTGCCGGAAAGCTCCCTCACATGCCCTCTAGTGCGCTATGCCTGTTTTTGAAGGGCTATTCCCTCCTGAACATGACGCGGCTGTGCAGTCACTGCTATATCGCTTTGCACAGTGGCATGCACTTGCAAAGCTCAGGATTCACTCCGATTCTACCTTAGCATTTCTAGATGAAACGTTCAAAACACTCTCCCGGATGTTGCGGAAGTTTCGGACGCACACCTGTGCTGCTTTTAACGCCGTGGAATTGCCGAAGGAGAAGGCGGCGCGTCAACGAAGACTCACTCAACGCTTCGAAGCTCATACTAACGTCGCTCCAGAATCAACTGGAGCAAGGGCCAAGATGTTTAACTTAAATACCTATAAGTTCCATGCTATGGGGGACTACGTGAAAACCATTCGATTATTTGGGACCACGGATTCGTTTACAACGCAGATCGTATGTATCATCTACATTCTACCGGTATGAACCTGATGACCATGTACAGGGCGAGCTTGCACACCGAGCTTTGAAAGCATTCTACCCACTAACCAGTAAGCTAGACACTCCGGCCCAATTAGCCAAACACGAGCGGAGGCGCCGCGCGCTACGGCGTATAGCAGAGGCAGGGGGTACAACCCCCTGCCTCAGTCAATCACTAGTCGATATCCCCTCTTCTGGAAAGCACTACCGCATCACCACCGGTCAGAATCATTCGATCAGTCTATTCGCATTCATTCGAGAACATGACGGCGATCCGGCTCTCAAGGTAGAAGTCTCATCCGTTTTGAAAGCTCCTCACTCACAGTAGCTATTAGAAATTTATACCAAAGCTAAAGGACCATGTACTTTATCGGTTGCGCAAGCTAGACGTCAGCTACTGCGACCATACCTTCACAGACGAGGAGCGAAACCTGGTCATCATCCCTAACAACACAATCCACTCTGTCCAGACTATGCAAGTTCATTATACTACATACGACATGAGGCATGACTACGACACGATCAACCCTCGAACGCACGCGGACGTTATGGTGGTTTCGGGTGAGACAACGCCCAACCATCCATATTGGTATGCCCGCGTATTAGGAATATATCATATCGAGATGTGGCTCAACGACGGAGCTCAGCCGGTGAAGCAACACCTTGAAATTCTTTGGGTTAGATGGCTGGCCCCTTTGCAGAACCATAAATCTGGTACGAGATATGCTCGTCTTCCCAAAGTCGCCTTCGTGGAGGAATCCGACACAGACGCATTCGGGTTTCTTGACCCAGGGCAAGTGATTCGGGGAGTGCACTTGATTCCAGCCTTTGCTTCAGGACGTGGTGTTAGCTCGCTTTGCCACGGAAAATCATTGGCGCGTCAGGAAGGGGAACTAGATGATTGGGAGGCCCATTACATTGGCATGTGAGCGTAAATATCTGTTCTTATGTATACTAATCCTTAACCTCTGGTGCAGATTTGCTGACCGAGACATGTTCATGCGCTATGGTCATTTAGGTGTGGGGCATCCGGTAACGATGCGAAGAATGACCAGAGATTGTCTTAGCCCTGGATCAGCGGGCGACATGAACGTCGTGGACGACACCGACGAGGTAGATGTGAGCCATGCAGAGAATGATGACAGCGAGGATTGTGACGGATGCGGCGAGGATGACAATGAAGATGATGGAACGAGCGATGAAGAATTTAGCGACGATGACCTAGAGCACGAAGACGAGGGAGTTGAGAAAGATCATGGCTGGGAAGGTGACGAGGACCAGGATGACTTGGAGGACGATGACCTATCTTTTTGAATTTCCTCCATTAACAGATTATTTGGTACTCAAGTTCCATCATACGGCAGGCGTCCGAGTCGTCTTTGAATTCTAGACGTTCATCATGCCTATCGCAGCGAGTGCCATGCCTGCGTCACTGAGGACAGCACAAAATATCAGAATTTAGACTCGGAAAGACTTTCTGATCAGACTCGGAAGTTCGTAAGTACTACTCACTGGCACCTCCATTTCAAAGCAGATCTTTCGTGCCTTGCGGTGGATGGTATGCTAGTACTCAGCAGCCTGAAGATAAGGCAAGAGGTCGTCAACATACCACGGATAAGAATACAAACTCTAGACTCTGCAACCGAGATCAGACGGTGAACGGACTGTCGCTCATCGCAAAGGAAGACTCGAACGTTTGTTTTCGATCCGGTGTTCCGTGGCAGGCAACTTGCAAGGTGAAGCTACTGATTTCGACTAAACACATTGGATGCTCCTCGAGGGTGCAAATTTGTTCTATTCGGTAACAGCTCCGAGTATAGATTTTTTCTGAGTATCCGAGTCTATTTGTCATGGAATTGTCTCACACGCCATTCCAGTTTAGCTGGTTTACAGAAGGTCTTTAATGACATCGATATCACACTCCAGAACATAAAGAAGGAAAACATTAATGCTGAACAACGTGGATACGATTACCTTACCATCCCTTGCTGGCCTTGGTCGCGCCATGTCACATTTTTTGGAGGCGATAGCAGGAGGCGGATGAGGTGGATGATCGGTGGAAGACACTATCGTTTTTCAACACGTCGAACAGAAGTTTGACCGTAAAGCATTGTACATCATAGTATGTGCGGCCATCAATTTCTAAATACTTTTTTCCATTCAATCATTGCTAAAGGCATTTTCCATTCAAACGCCTTGTATAGTCATCGCACTGAAACCATACATATGACCAAGTAAGAAGGAGCTCTCAATTCGAGGGTGTTACACTACTGGGCCTGGTATGCTCCGACGTCGCCGCGCCCCAACCTCGTTTTTAAGTCACACAGCCCACCAGATTCGGTGGTCATTGTAAAACTGACTTTCCATTAGAATGCCTTATATAGCTATGGAACCGAGACCATACATAAGACATAGGGAGAATGGGCTCTCAATTTGTGGCCGGCACGCTACTGTGACTTGTAGGCTATGATGCTACTATACTTCAACTCCGTCATTGATGTGTCTTGCAAGTTTAGATCTGGAAGGTATGTATGACGAACTAAGATTTCTTATGGAATATATGGATATATTTAGGAAAAGCATAATTATATCTGTCTATAGGTCTCATGGCTACAATATCACGGACTCATCAATTCACTGATGGTTGTACAGTATACTTCTGAGGGAAATCACGATACATTTTGAGATAATGGACGATACACGCTTACAGTAACTTTTCAGGGCTGCACGCATCACGCGTGGGTTGTATTTATATTAGAATTCGCCGTAGCCCTCAATTGTACCAGACCAGTGCAGAGTTCAGGAATCAGAAGACGAAGGTATGCGTTATTTTGGTCTGTTGTGCAATGGCTTCGAGGAGTTTCCTTATTCAGAAGCTTTCCACTTTGCAAAACTTCAAGACCTCGCGTTCCGAGTCGTACCTCGAACTTACTTGAAATATAACAAAAGTCATGCTTTGTCATGAAGCAATGGTTTAAACTCAGTTGAACTCTGCCGGGCTTACCGATGGGTCCCAGACCAAATCCCTGACTTTCTAGGTCCATGAGGTACGTAGCCACATTTGCGAATGGGAAGGTATTTAAGTGCTGCAATAACAGTTTCAGTCTTGTTCTTGTGCAACCTCGAGCATTTCTCCCCAAAGCCAAACTGTTTCGCAGATCAAATTATGATGGCTACCCTTCATACACCACCATCACAGAAGTCACAGGTACCGCCGCCAGATACAGCACTGGTCCCTCCCCACACCTCACAATATGACTATCGCACGGGGGATCTGGAGCTAGGTCGCGAGGCTGTTCTTACTGATTTGAGAAGGTATCTGCAGGTCCCATTCGTTTCCCTAGCGAAGTGTGTTGGTGCCGTGCCTTCTCAGCAGCGTCTGGAGGAGAAGCACGACCACTTAATTCGGAGCGAGGTTCTCACCAACGACGGCCTGGAATGGAAGGACTTCATTCGACCTGCGAATATGTCCGAAGAGATGACGTTCAAGCTTGAGGGAATCATCTCTGGAATCTTGGAACAAGTCCCGGATTGTGGAGTATCCTACCTATCGAATATGCTCCTCTCAGAACGCCATAATACTTCCCTGCCGGATGGATACCTTGTGCGGGCGAAAAATCGAACTGCAGCCAGGATGCATTGGTTCGATATCGCTGTACCATTCGGATTCAAGAAGGAACGGGATGCAAAAGCTGTCCGAGACGTAAGTTGTTGTCACAGATCTCGTCGGCGCCGATTTATACACTTTGCTCTAGAACGAACACAAGATGATCTGGAGCCTTCACAACATCATGCGCGAGGACCCCTGTCGTCGGTTTGCCTTCGGTATCACAATCGAGGACACGCAGTTGAGATTGTGGCTCGGCAATCGTGGATTCCTCGCAGTCACAGAGCCTATCAACTGCTTCGAGGTACGCTTCCTTATCGTGCTGTATGTCAGGGAACTAACTGGTATAATACATCTAGAACATCGATGGTGTGATCTCTCTCTTTTATGCTCTTGGATTTGCGTCTGCGTCTACCTCCTTGAAAGGGCTCGGATGGGATCCCACTGTCGAGCGGATCTATGTAGGAGGGAAAATGCAATACAAGTTCACAGTAGGGGACGAAGTGTTCACCACGACACGGGAACTTGCCACCTACGGCGCGGACTATATGGTTGGGCGTGGAACTCGCGTGTACGAAGCCACGGACACTAAAGGGAAGAAGGTTGCCATCAAAGATTCGTGGAGAGAAATTGATCACCAATCTGAGGGCGAGATCGTAGAAAAAATCTTGGCCTCCTGCGAGAAGAAGCTGGAAGCGAAGGATTTCGCCGATGCCAAGAGACACTTCGTTGGAGTCCGGCTCTGGAAGGATGTCACAATCGACGGTGCCTCGGATGAGACGGTGAACCCGGTAGCCGGAGACGAGTATGATGGCACCTGGAAGTGGAAACCTATCGATCTCATGCCCATCCTCCCCGAAAGGCTGCATTCATCTGCTACGGGCGACGTACCCGACAGTAGCAAACTATCTGCCTTCCTTTCCGCACAATTGGGCATTGTTGGGCGAAAGGAAACACGAATCCCACAGAGAGTTCACGCGCGCATCGTTTTCCATGATGTTGGAGTCACTGTCAAGGATCTAATCTCTCTGGCCGACAGCCTGAGTTGCTTGTCTGGCGGACTGAAGGGTAAAGCAACTATTCTTATTCTCCTTACCTCAATCGCTCATGCCACCCTTAGGCCTGTATTATTTGCATAAAGCAGGTTGGATCCATCGCGATTTCAGCGTCGGGAACGTGATATGGGTCGTCGGTGACAACGGGGGTATCGGCAAACTGGGTGACTTCGAGTACGCGAAAGAGATAAATTCAAACACTTCTCATGACGATCAAACGGTAAGAATTTCTGAAGATGATACCTCTCGCTGCTAACTCGTCAGCAGGGAACAATGCATTTCATGGCGATAGAAGTAGAACATCAGCAGTACCTTTTCCAAACCCTAGCTCCCGCTCCAACATATGGTGATACAGACGTCCCGTCCCCCCCTCCATTCCGCATGAACTTCCTGCACGACATCGAATCTGTATGGTGGGCATATGCGTGGATCTTCTTTTATCACACGGACACCATCACGGCGAACTCGAACGATTCCTTTGATGTGGATGCACAGTTGAGACAACATCAGCTAGCGTTCCCTGGTGCGATTCGCCAGCCAACACGCCTGACATTCTTCACTGGCATCACAAAACTTCGCCACACCTGCAAATCCATCCTTTCAGATAGATGCTTCAAGGTTTGCGATAATCTTGCGCTTTTTGCATATACTCTCCAAGCCAGTTATCTCAAGGCAGAGGCTGAGCACCCCTTGATTGTGCTCGATGACTCCCTTCGGGAAGATATGCATGCAAAGCCGCAGAATATCTCGATTATGCGCAAAAAGAGGCTGGTGATATCAAACTTTGTCGGCTCTTCGACCTCCGCAGGCAGAAGAGGCCTCGAGAAGAAGGTGAAACGTCGCCTACGCCAGATAATGCAGGGAAGAGGATCCGATGCGGTTGATTATTCATTCAAGATCCCCCCTTGGTAGATTTCATATTCCTCGCACACCTCGGTGCGTTTTCACCGCTTGGAACTAGACATCTAGTTGACGAGACCAAGACTGATACATAAATTGTCTGATACGTAGAACACTAAATTAGTCAGTAATATAAAAAGTAACGAATACCGGACAATAATGCTCCCACTAGAGGATGAAGCGTAGATTGGTATCCTGAAAAGTTAATCTGAATCTACCACGCTATAAACTACAAATGCTTACGATGTAGTGCGAGCTCGACAGTTGCGGTTTCTGTTGATAATGATGCTTCAAACAGACTTAAGCAGCTCTTGGTACTAGATGATCCACAGAAACCCACAAAACTCGCATTTCTATTTAAAGACAACATTCCTAGCATAAACACCATTCTCTCTCTAACACTACAACTCTTTACGATGTCACGATCGAAGCAGAAAGGATGGTTAAACGTGAGCAGGAGCAAACTCGAATAGAATGTTGTGTTCCTCTCACAAGGCGAGCCGCACAGCGGCAACCACTTGCGCATGATAAAAAGTAGGTCTCGCCCATCAAGAATAAAACTACAGCTCTTCCTCATCCTCGAGGTCGTCTTCGAGCTCCGACCTTCCGGTGAGATCAGCAGCATCGATCGCGTTCTGCTTGTCCCCCAAGTACCAGTTCGGCATCGCGAGGGCAAGCAAGATAGGTATCACGCTCAGTATGGTTGCTGTGGTTACCATGATCTTCATCGTGTCGTCGTACGCTGAAACATGATCGGTGAATATTTGCATTGATGTGTGCATGGCAGCTATTTCAAACGCACCGTTGATGACGCCCTCTCGTATGGGGTGGCCGAGCGGATAGGAAGCTGCTGACCTTATGCTCCCAAACAGCTCTGCACGCTCCTCGTTGGTCAACGATGGCAGATACTTCTCTAGGTTACCTGGCATCGTGTTCGACCAAATCGCGCCGGCTGTGTTTCCGTCTAGTCGACGATTCTAGATATGTATGAGAGTGGACATACCGCATGCGTTCCCAACTGCGCCCCCGATTTCAGTCACTAGGAGCACGATCGCCGTGATGATCGCCACGTCTGTGTGAGGTACGGATGCTTGTGCTCCTACTTGGGAAGAGACAGCGGCAAAACCTCCGCCGAAACCTTGAAGGATCTGGGTCCACACGAGTTCAGCATTTGAGGCGTTGGCACCACGCGAGTGGATCATCATTGCAACACCCCTGACAAGAATACGTAGGTCGGGAATTTTGGTTGAAATGATTGAGAGGCTTACGCTAGACGGATTACGAGTCCGACGACGAGTACGTACTACCGCGCAGGGTTGAGCTGGACTGCGGTATTGAATGGATCAGTGACAGTGACGTACCTTGTAACGATGGAGGAAACGCATGCTGAGACCCGCGAGAATGCCAAATAATGTCAGTGCAACGGATTGCACCTGAATGAAGTACGTCGCATTCACGAGTGACCTTCAGAGACTAGGTTAACACACACTCTCACAAGCAGAAGGTGAAAGGTACCAAGGTTTCACCACTAGGACAAACGAAAACAGATACGCGTACGTAAGGAAGAACGACATCTATAACATCGAACGATCAATCTCACCAATAAATGACGACGCCACTTGACACTTACGAAGTCAAAAAAGCCTATGAATGCCGCACATACAACACTTCTATTCTTGACAAACCGGGGAGCGATCACGGGCATACTGGCGTAACGTAGATCCCAGACTGCGAACAAGACAAGAAACACAAGTCCCATGAAAAGCACTGCAATGATCGAACCTACATTTTGTGCACATTGGTAAATCTCTCTCCGGGAAGATAAGATATTGAACACGAACCATTCTTCCAGGATCCCGACACTGCCTGACTAATTGTCAATGGAAGTAAGGTTAGTGAAACTGCGGCTCCGAGAAGGACAAGTCCGACTAGGTCAAGCTGTTCAGCGGACCGAAGGAAGACAGCCATGGCGGATACAGATTTATCTGAGAGGCTTCGCTGTGTTGAGTTCTCGCGACTACGTGATTTGTTGGAGTCGAGAAGAGCGATCCTTTTGGCCTTGCGTTCCGCCCACAGAAGAGTGAAAATGAGGGGTGCAAGGGAAACAGGGACAAGGACAGCAAACATGGCATCTGTGGATCACAATATGAGAAGATGACAAGGTAAAATGATGGGCAAGACTTACAGCCCCATCTCCAACCGATAGTGTTGAGGACTGCGGTGGATATGTTTGAGCCAATAAATGCATTGATCAGGAATGGTGTAGAGACGAGGGAGACGACAAGCCCACGCCATGCAAGGGTGGTGATGTCAGCAATGATAATCTGTGTGAGTAGTTGCAATCCACTGAGCGGAGTAAATCAATGCCCAGGATAGTGGCGTTATCGGCGTATGCTCACGTATATCCACTAGAAGAATGAGTAAGATAGAAAAAGAAGAAAAGAATTGACGCTCACACAGCATATAGTACAATCCCCCCAGCAATAAAACCGACATTAGGGGCAGAAGCTATTACGGTATAGCCTAGTAGTGGGAGATCATGATAGTGCAGCGAGTTAGATGCAAACGACATACCGAGAACGTAAAAGATCACTAAAAGTGCAAGGTCAGACAAGGACTTGAGGATGCAGTGCGCACTCACAGACACTAACGTAAGCGGTGCCTCGTGACGAGACGTCCGCGACTTTAGCGATTACAGGTTTCCCGACAGCGACTGTGAATATTCAGTCAATAATCACTGTCAAGGGTGACGAGAAGGAGAAATTACTAATAAGTGACTGTGCGACGGCGATCGAGCTGAGAAAGGCGTGCTCGCCAAAATATGAAGTAGCGAATGTAAGGTATGCATAAGTTGTGGATGCATCAAGGGAGTATATATATGACGCAAGTCCAAGGCTATCGATTTATTAATTAGTATACGAGGCGCAACTTGAAAGATGTTTGCACGCACCCAATGAAGAGACACCAACGAGAGTAACGCCCATATACGCGTTGTGCGGCCTCGACTTTCATGACGCCAGCATGTGTTTCCTGGTCTGCAAGGAGAACTGAATGTTCGATGTCATCGCGGTCGTCGTCTAGTTGTTAAAGCATTGTGAGCGGACACAACTTTTCTTGATCGTGAGACTGATTCATACCTTGGGGGTTCTGAGGGAGAGGCGTGTAGCCTGCTGTAGACATGACTTGTTGCTCGAATTTTGATATTAATATTGAGATCTGAGAAAGGAGTCTGGGCAAAGAACAGTGGGCAGCTGGGTTGCTTGGGACGCAGCACTTGGCTGATAAGGGATTCTCACACTGGTCGCAGACAAAGATACTGCGATCTGTATGTACGGAAGTCGATGCAACGTTGGGCCCACGCGCTCACCGGCCAAAGATCCAATAAACCCCAATCGAGTTACGTAGTCGCACGGATCTTGGCACATGGCACAGGCTCGGATCAGAACAAATTTAGAACAACCAGCAGGCGATGCTACACATCCATAACGATGTCCTCCTGCGCGATGTCCTCTACAGTCTCAGATTATGTTCCCTCAGATGTGCATGGTCTAGCCGCGATAAGTCATAGCTTGACCACAACATAGCGCCCGGTCCGGCGGCTCTTGCCGCGGCTTTCATTATAGATGCCGCGATGTCAGATCGATTATCACTTCAACAGTCAGCCCACTCTCGACGAGCCAAACTATCACTTTAACAGTCCTTCAAATACTGCGGATTCTCAACGCTACTTCGTTCTGAATCAAACCCACATCTCAATGAGCTCGATTATCATCCCAACAGTCCTCCAGACGAGCCTCAAATTGGACCCACTTCAAATTCTCGGCGAAAAGTACCGGCCATCGAAATCATGTGCTTGCTTGTTCAAATAACGCTACGATGGGCTACTAGCCTCAAAATCTAGTGTTATCGCAGCCCACAATCACAAAACAAGGTTTGCGGCCTGACTGCGCAGAATCAAGTTCTACATCTCATCAAAACCGTGAAGAGCTGGTTTTACGAACTCTATCGAAACTATCGAGGTTGCGGGTGTCGATGACGGTGTAAGTGACTTTCACTCACTTCGAGGTCGTTTGCTGATTGCTGTTCCTGTTAAGATCGATATCCAGTGTGGGCGGCTTCACTGGCTAACTCATTATGGCAGGCGTTCGTCTCAAGAAACCCGATCAGCGAGTAGCGTAATTCGCTGAAAGGAGATGTTGTCGAGGCCCTGCCGCAATTCGCTAAATGTTATCTTCTATTCCGGGCGCCCGGTCCATCATCTCTTGAAGATGAAGAATCCGAGGTGTTAGAAGTCGAACCGGCAGATGACAAGGGGTGATATACACTGATTTCGAAGGAATCGGAGGATGACTCGGACAGTCTGATATTCATTCAGTTGATGACGACTAAGTACTGTACAGCTACAAATATACTTGTAATCAATATCGTCCTTGAAAGAACAAGTCCAGCCACTCCTCAGCTGAGGTTTTACAAAGCCCAAGCCCGGGTCCCCGAGCCGCGCCCGCACATCGCTAGAATAGACTACAGTATTGAGTACATGGAATCCAAGAACACATCCTAAGTATCAGGTTACAATGTCCACATGCACCCAATATCAATACCAGAGAATGGGTCCACCAAAGTCGGAAGACACAAAGACAGGCATGATTTTTTGAACAGCAAGAACCCCGATTCGCGGGGTCATCGTTCGTCTTCGTCGCTCCATATCAGATCATCGACGTCATCTTCTGGCAGACCGCAATTGCCAGTCGACCTGAATGATGAGATGACGTTCCGTCTACAAACATGATAATGCATGAGGTTCTGAGAATGAGAGATAAGATCAGTTACCTTGCAAGCAAATCCTCAACACCCGCCTGCCCTGCTTCCCAGTCTACGCGTACCCAATTATGCACGAGCTCACCGTCGCGGTAGACCAGTAATGTTGGTAGCATGTCGGTGTCGACGTCCTCTTCCTGTCCCCCCTCATCCTCCTCCTCCTCGTCATAATAAGGCTTCTCATCAGCCCCATCAGCATACGGATCCTCGTCATCATCATCAACAAACCGCCCAGGCATCCCATTCACCTTGGACCGCACCCGAGTCGACGACGACGACAACGCAGTCGACGCAAACCCAAGCGCAGCCGCCCGCGCACGCACAAACTTCGTCTCAGGATACATCCTCGCAAGCCTCGCCAACACCTCATCAAGCGCATAACACCGATCCAACGACTAAAAAAGCAAAAAAAAACCCCATCAAAAACCCACCCACCCACCACCCCCAAAAACCAACTCACCGACTCATACAAATGCACAACAACCCAAACACCTCTATCCTCCCTCTCCACAGCGCTCACGAACCCCCCACGGCCGACCTCCCTGAGATGCCCAAACCGCCCCGTCTTGGGCATCCCAAGCACATTCGTCCGCTTCTCAGGATCCAGCGCGTCTTTCTCCGCTTCCTCCTCTAAGAACGTTTTCCCACCGAGATCAGCCCTCTCCATGCGTCTCCGCACTTCTTCCATTTCGCGTGCGCGCCGTGAAGCTTGGAGCGCAGCTGCTTCGTGTTGATCGCGGATGACGCCTTTTACGCCTGTGCGCCCGGGCCCCATACCGATGGACTCTTGTTGTGCCGTGGCATCGCGGTTGTGGGGGTGGATGTGGCGGTGGGAGGAGTCGGAGGATGCGGATGCGAAGGAGAGGGTTGGGGAGGGGCTGCGTTCGGGAGAGGAGGAGCGGGAGTTTGTGCCGAAGAGCTTGCCTGAGAGGACTAGGTGCTCGATGTCGGCGTCCTGGAAGGCGATGAGCGGATGATGGGTATGAGTCAAGTGCGCTTACCATTGTTTAATTAGTCAGGTTGCTAGTAATTACGATGAGATGATGCGCCAAAGGGAACAAATGGTTGACAAGTGCTGTGGGGTGTGGAGTCATCTAGTCATCTAGTCATCTTCGGATCTCAGATCCTAGATCTGGCTGATCAGATTTTCAAGTCATCAAGCATACACAGCGTTCATGCTAGATCAAAAATATTCTCCAAAAAATTGTCATTTCCATCCTTCTACATGATATAGGCCACAAAGATGCATCCAAAACCCACCAGGAAAGAGAGTGAAGAACGAATGACGACGAAACGAGCGTATGATAGTATGTACGATGTGATGTGATGCGGTGGTAATACTACAGTCATCGAAGACCCTAGACCAAGAAAATGGAAATGGAAATGAGAGACTGTCCGACAAAAAGGCGTCCAACTCCACGAGGTATGCGCGCACGGATGCTGGGAGCCCGAAGAGGGATGTAGAATGGGTAGAAAAAAATGAAGAGGACCGAGAAACTAGTGCTATGGTATTCGCAGTATGTGTGGTTATGGGGTGAATGAAGAATGCATGTACGGGTTTTTGATACAGTGATAGACGGACAGTGACGCAGATAGATAGTGACGCAGATAGATAGTGACGCAGAACGGAAGATAAGGAGGGTATGCATGTAGAAAGCACAGAAGTAAAGGGAATAAAAAAACACTAGACAAGAGTGTCAGCACCTCCTATACGGTCAAGTCCTGCCCGTTTCAGATCCCGTAACGTAATGTTGACGCCTCGGAAATCCTCGAGCCAGACCTGCCGCTCACCACAACGGGCAAGGATCTTGGCCCAGAATTTCAAGATTCGCGTCTCGGGACGTTGTCCGACGCGCATCGAATGGGATCCCCGGCTCAAGTCACGGATGTACCGTAAAGACGGGAAGGCGTCATTGAAGAGTAGCGACGAGATTTGCTCCACCAATGGGAAAAATGGCGCCTCATCTTCCCTGTCAGCAGGGAAAGCATACGCGTCATCCATGAGGCGCTTATCGATATCTCGGATGCCAATGAATTCCAGGCTTTTGTGCCCAGGAAGGAGGACGTGTGGAGCTATCCAATCTGGATTCTGCCAGCTCCACTCTGCATCCGCTGAACAGATGAACTCTTTGAGATTGGGGCACCACTCTGCTAGTGGAATATGTTGTACAGGCCGAGGATGAAGTGAGAGGTAGTGTTCGACGACGAGCGAAGAAGAGTGTCCCAGTTCCAACTGGTGTAGTTTTTTGCCATGTGCGGCAAAGAAGTAAGCGAACCCGGGTCCTGCGTAGCCAAAATCTGAAGAGACTACAGAGACATTTCGCAGATTTGGCATGTCCCATGCCGCAAGTACCGCAAAGGTTGTGTTATCGAGGGTCAGTTTGAGGGATTGAAGTACAGGAAGGGAAACGATGGGGGATTTTGATGCGAAGAGGTGACCAGAAACGAGGGGTATAGTGGATGATGAAAGTTCCAGGTATTCGAGGTTAGCTGCAGTGCGCCGGAGGAGCGGCGACACATGTTTTGGGAAGGGGTCATCACTATAGTTGGTAAGAGAGAGTTTGCGGAGCTTGCTATTCGAATTTGCAAGAACAGAAACCATCTGTTCCGGGGAACAGCGCACATCAATAAACTCTGAATACCGCATGCATCGCACAGAGTGATGATCAGAATAGATGACGAGATGGGGGGCGTAATCAAGAATGGTACGGATATCATCCGTAGCGCACCGCATGAGGACGGGCGTTTCCATGTGTAATCGGCGAATGTAGTTGCCGCTGGAGGGCTTACCCTCGATAAATTGTGTGAGTAAGGTGAGTGCGAGCGCTTTTGCTTGGCTGGCTCGACTGATCCAAACAAACTCGTATAGGTACTCCTGCATGTATTTATTCCACATTTTGCTTACAAGCGATAGGTCCCGCTTGATCTTCATGGAGGCGTGGTATTCTGAGACTTCGCAGGTGGTTTCCAAAAATGATAGACCAAGGGAGATATCGAGGGGGTCTGAGTTCATGGTTGTGGCTTCGCGCAGAATCATGAGCCATATTTCCGTTGGTAGATATGGAAGGTCGAGTGCGGGTGAATGAATGAATGATGTGCGGGGGTTATCAGAGAAGGCGTTTCTCCTGTAATGAGAAAGGTTAGACAACAACAAAAAATTGCACAGGTGGTTGCTCGACGTTACTGAGGGCACCATCCCACGTATGAGAAGATGAAACACTTACCGTTTCGCATGGACCTTGGAGGACATTGCTGTCAATATACAGCGAATCTGACGGACAATCTTGGGACCGTCTACGGAGAGCATTATCGGACAGGATGGTTGAAGAAAGAGAGAAAACGATAATGAAAGGGAGAGTTAAAAAAACTGTGGCTCGCTGTAGATCTTGAAGGTAGTAAGGAACTAAGTAGGGCGTCTATATACCCAGACTCTGCCTCATTGATATTTCCCACGGTGACTGTATGTAAAGGTATTCCCATAACTTGGCTGAGATAAGATGCTGTACTTATGCCCATATTCTTAGACACGGAACAGTGCCAACTTCATCAAACCCACGAATCCTACCAGGAATATGTTCGAGTATTTTCAAATCCTTCCAACTATCCTTTGAACAACTCAGACTGACTCTGAGGCTGAGGTGGCTTGTCAATTGAATCCGACCTCCGTTTTCGCAAGGGTCCACCCCCGGATGCAATAACACAAAACGCCGTAGTACCTACGGCAAGTCGCATAAATGATATAGGCTCCGCGGTTGGTCTTAACGTTAACTTTAATGAAAAAAGCATATCTAAAGGCAACCGCATGGGTTTTATGATTATCGGAGCTTGGTAAAAGCTTCGCCGGTGTGGAGAGGCCCAACTAAGCTGGAACGTTCGATTATGCCTTTTGTCTAGCAAGGCAGAACGCTGGCGAATGCCGTCGAATTCAAATCCAAATCCCCCGTGAAGTTTACACTTTTTTTTTACCTTCGCGACCTGGATGTCAAACAAGGTTCACGCGTTCACGATCGTTAATATTGAATACAACTGCTCGCAAAACCTGGTCCAATGATCCGTGGTCATATCGAAGCATAGAGATCGGAACTTCAGGTACTCGTTGTCCAGTAAACACCTCGCTAAAGGCACTCTTCGGGTATTGGTACGATAGCAAAATGCGGGCAGCCCCGGTGTTCATGTAGACAAGTAGGAACTCGAAGGTTCTATGCCCCCTGGTGCACATTGACTTTGGCCATCTTAGGAACTATTAAGTACTCACATTTCAAATTTCTTCAGGGCTTAGTCTTCAAGTTTAGGCGAGAGGGACCGTATTAAATGCGAGTTCCGGCATATATCATGCGAGGGTCCAGAATCTACTTGCGCCCACAACAAAATGTGGGCCCCGCCCCTTCAACCAACTTGTATGCGTCACTGTCTTATCAGATCGGCTAAGAAAATCATAATTCCATTGCCGACTACCGGGCATTAACGTGATAGCTAAGTACAATAGAAGCCTTCACTCGTGCTTACTATGCGAAAGTTCAAAAGGTTCAACCTTACGAAGCGAAATTCATGACCAGTGGCCACGTACGGTCGGCTGTGCGTCTGATGCTGTTCGTCGGACTGTTGACTCACTCACCTAATACTTGGGTAGTAGTCAGCATCGTAACTCACAGATCTTAAATTATCCAAGACTAGCATTCGCCAGAGTGTAATCCTGCAGAGCTTCTGCGCTTACGTTGATGAGTAAAGTTTTCCTGGGGCGGTCCCGATGATTGGTGGAGACTCAACTGAGCTCGGCTGTTGCAGATTATTTGTTACGGCGATTTGTTAAACATAGTCGTAATTCTTGAATACGCGGTTATGTACACTGCACATACTACTAGTGTTGTTGCCGTGAACCTAGCTGAATGAAGTAAAAAATTGTTTAGATTCGATGCCACCTTCGCTATCAGGGTGGGCGCCGGGCACGGGGCCATTGGTTTGTCGGTCGAAGGTAGACTCGTTCCATCCAGTGTCTCACTCGTGTCGTGGCGCATTCTAGTCTTGATGTTGTTTGCAATGCACTGCTCTTCATCCGGCCTACGGACATGATGACGTCATGAGTGGTTTAGGCGCTGTTACCGAAGACAACTGTTCAGTACTCAGTGGCTTGATTTGCTTACAGCGTTCGTACATTAAAAGGCCAGGTTTCATTGTCTTGCAAGTTGTGCCACTCCTGTCCTTATGCCAAAGAAGATTGAATATTGATCGCCTATCAGTGGACAGGTTTCGGGACTCAGAGTTGCAAGTAAAGCCATCAACAAATGAGAAAACCGCACCAAATCATGAATATTAGTAACAGGGTTACTCGTATGACCGACTTGGGTATGATGAAGCCTGTGAGTTACTAATGTTGATCACCAAAAGTTGGGACGTCAGCAAGTTGGAATGTAAGACATTTCCGCTCACTAATCTTGGTCAAAAGGGAAAAAAGGTGCAGCATCAAACAGGAACTTGAACAGAAGGTAGCAGAAGGTGCTTACACATTTGAGGTTGATCATCCTTAGCCCGGGTGGATGGACTTCTCTTCCGCTCAAAACAACCTACGGGTCCCGCGGCGCCCGCGATACTCCGACGTGGATGAAAAGGTACAGGACCAGAGGAATTCCGAATATCCGGACACTCTTGAGAATTGGATGCGGGCATATAACAGTCATACCGTATCCTACCGTATCCCTGTCAAATTCAGGCTGGTCCTGGCCTTTCACTGATCACTAGTGTCCTTTCAGGGACTAGAGTGTTTTCAAATTTCAGAGGTCTTGGCGACGCCTAAACACGTTCGACTCTTTCCGCACAGGAGCCACGGTGTATAATGCCTGGTAACGCCGACCGTCACCTGGCTCCAGGAGACGTGCTCAAGGTGGCGGTGAATACTAAAATAGGGTGGGAACTTGCGAATACCATATCAAGGTAGTAGGTTCGTCGAATGCGGGCACCATATCAACTACCATGTGTCAACTGCGTACTAGTTTGGTACCAGCAAAGCACTAGCAACCGGTCTGCTAGTAAGTGGCTATAGCATCGTCCTTGGTCTCTAAACTCTAAACCGTCTTTGAGGGCTGGTGAGCACGCCTAAAACTTGAAGCTTTTCACCAACCCGATCAGGTTGTGCTCGAATATTGGTCTCAAACACGCTAATTGATTCCATATGACATATATGTCCACTGCGAACACCGCGGGGAGATCACTGCATCGACCATCAATTCAGCGTACTAGTTGCATCTCATGACGTGCATGACGACTAGGCATAGCGTTAGCCTTCTAGAGCCACCACAGGCCCCCTGAAACATAGATGGGGATGCCTGTTTCAGGTTGTTTGAATGTTTGGTGAAAAAGTCTCAAACCTCGGGCGTCTGGGCCTGTGTATGATGCGGACTATGTGCGGAAATATTGTCCAATTCAACTCATCATAGACACGAATTACTAGTATAAATAATGAGCTCAATCATGTCCCCTGCGCTAGTACTTGTCATCGAGACAGACCAAAGCCTCATTACAACTCATGATACAGATTGTTCATGATAACTAAATTTCGAAATTCATGATACTAAAACATGAGCGCAGTCTACGCGCGTGGGAACAATCAGGTCAAAATCACATTTTGACCCAAATGTCTTACGTACATGCTGTCATGTCTGGATAAATAAAATATCAGGCCCAAATTGATAATAGCAATCTGGGGGCCTTGCATTAACCCAAAAGGTTTGGTCTGCACCATTGTCAGCGCTCCAGCACTGCTCGATTGCCAGCTCGTCAGCTATAAGATAAAACATGATTGGCATGATTCGCCGCACTACGTATTCACCGTTCTCTCTCCCTTCCACTAAGTTACTGTATTTGCCCTTATAAGATATGCTCGACTTAACATTTGGATTCAAGGCCTTGGGAGCATTGGTTGCTCTCGTGATGGCGGGCGGTTTGCTCCGCGTCAAGATACGATCAAGGTCACGTTTGCCTCTTCCCCCTGGGCCCCCTGGACATTGGCTATTGGGAAACGCTTTCCCAAGAGAAAAGTGAGCACATAAACTCTGAGTCTGCGTGGACACTAACAGTGAACGCATCACAGGCAATCTCAACAATTTGCTGAATGGATTAATACCTATGGACCAATCATCTCGCTCCGGATCGGGCCCAAGGTCATGATTATCATCGGTAGACATCAGGTAAGATGGTTCCGAACTAATGGCTATCTAGAGCACATACTCACTTGTACAGGAATCCGTTGACATTATGGAAAAAGAAGGTGGTCTGCTAGCGGACCGTCCTCGTGCAGTTGCAGCAGGAGAGATTCTGTCTGCCGGTTTACGTATGATCCTCGCACCCGCAGGAGAGCAGTTCCGGAGACTTCGCAAGTTGAGTGATATCTTGTTTTGTCGACTGCTTTGCTGAAGTGACATCATCCAGGGCCGCGCACACTCACCTTCAAGCAAAGGCCGCAGAATCCTATGCGCCCATCCAGATGGACGCCGCTCGTGATGTCATTTTTGACATCCTTGATAACCCCAAAGAACACCAAGCAGCCGCGAATCGGTATGTTTCACTCTATAGCTGATTATACGACCACTTATGCATTCAACCCAAGCTATGCCGCTTCAGTCGTCTTGCGTGTCATGTATGGAAAGTCTACGCCCACCGCCGTAGATGCTCCCGAGATCATTATCATCCACAAGATGCTTAAGCGCTTCCAGAATCTCATGAGACCTGGTGCGTTATTGGTAGAACGCTTCCCAATAATTAGATACCTTCCGGGATACACAACCGAGTTGGAGGAATGGAGAAGGGAAGAGAGCCAGCTCTTCCACGATCAACTCAATCGTGTTTCGAAGGAATTGGTAGGTTTCTAAACATATTTTTTTAAATACTCACCTGACCAGTGCTTCGTAGGCGACCGGCGAAGCTGGACCCTCATTTTCTCGGTACCTTCTCGAGAATCAGTCTTCGCACAAGCTTTCAGACGAAGAAATGGCCTATCTTGCCGGTTCGCTCTTTGGGGCCGGGTCAGACACGACCGCTGTCGCTGTTATGGTTGTCGTCATGGCTGCTGCCTGCTATCCCAAGGCGCAGGAGAAAGTGCAAGAGGAACTGGATACCGTCGTCGGTCGTGACAGAGGTATGTCAACATGTGAGCTTATTTGATCAAACGAATCTCAACCCGGTCATTATAGCTCCCACGTTGGATGACTACGGTTCCCTTCCCCAGATTGAGGCGTTCATGCTTGAGTGTCTTCGCTG